GTGTGTTCGTGTGTTCGTGTGTGTTGTTCGTGTTCGTGTTCAATAGTGAGCTCTGTGTTGGTGACTCTGAACCAGTCAGACAACCGAGTTTTTGAACGTCTGTGTGAACTGGGTCAAAACTCCTGACGGCACAGCTTCGACCTGTTTGTGTCCGAGCATCATTTTAATAACAATCTGCATTGTTGACGTCCGCTGGCTTCATGATGTGATCCAGACTGTGGAGAAAACTCTGCAGGAATAATCAGGATACTTGTTTCTGTGACTTTGGTGTGAAAAAGCAGCTTGTTTCATATATATATTTTTAACTTCCTGAAGCAGCACAATGTGGCTCTGTGGCACTTCTAAATTTAACAAAGCTTTTGTTTCAGGTCCTTTTTTAATTAGTTTTTACAAGCAGACATACTTGAAGGCTTTTGTTCATGTTTACAACCTCGAGGGAAGCCTTGAAGGCACCATAACGTAGTTTATTGTTATTTAAAGTCTGGTGATTATTGTATGTGTTTGTGTATCCTGATATATCTTCTATCTATTGTTCTGTTATAAACTATTAAAACCACATAAAGAAATTCCTTTTCCTAAAGAATTACACACTCGGAAGCCAGCAACATGCCAGCATTATTTGTTTACAATCGCTTCTTATTTTCTCTATATTGTTTTGTTTACTCCTGACAACATTACATGAGAGAGAGAGAGAGAGAATTAATGAGGGAAAAAGGTGTTCAACTTGGCTAGTAGCTTTTTAGCTTGGTTACTAACGGGACAACAAGTTCACAGTTTAATTAAAGATGTATGTCATTACTGTCTGTAAACCGTTCCTCTGTGGTGGAGCAGTTTATACTCATACATGTTGATGGTGACACACAGCTAAATTAGCTCCAATAGCTTCCTTCATATTGGACTCTTTGTTTGGGGCGTGAAACCAACACAACGCGGCGATTACGTGGAAATTAATTGATTTTGCTGCTAAAATTTGGAGTATAAATGCTAGTGTGATTGGACCTTTACCGTAAGTAAAGAGTCCAACTCACATACGGCCTCTTGTAGTGATAAATACTCTCTAAAGCATCAAATGTGGATTCATCCGCCGATGAAAATAGTCCCCTGCTTGGCCAGCTCTTTTAGGAAACTACTGAACTCTCACTGTACTATCCTTCTCCAGCAGTCTTACAAGTTTTAAGGCTTAAAAACAGACAGAAAAAACAATAAATTTGAGGTCTTCTAGCGTTTCTCCTTTCAGTCTGTTACAGTCTGCAGTATCGGAGCCTGACCTGGTCTTTGTTAAGGTTTCATCCCGCTCTGTTTATAGTCAGTAATACCTTCCATCTGGCCTTCGCTGCGACCGCTTGCCAAAATGTCTTTCCCATCGCATATTCTCCTCCCTCTGTCATCCCTGCAGGTCGCCCTCCAAAACTGGCACAGGCAGCGTTTGTAACAGTAACCCATTTACGGTGACGGGGAATGTGGGTCGGATGCACGGGCACTGCGCTCACGCCACGGGCCTCCACTGCCGGGAGGGAACATCGAGCCGGGCCGACATATTTCACCCAGATTTTCATAGATTTATTGGACAGTAAGAGGCCATTACTGTACGGAGGAGGGGGAGGAGGGGGTGAGGAGGAGAGGAAGTGGAACAAAACACAGAGAGGGAAAGTTGCTGCGTTCAAGTCCGGCTGGATTTTCTGTAAATATGAGCCTCAACGCAGAAGGAGACATTTTGCTGGTGGAGAGTCGGATGTGTGTTTTTGAGGTGGAATTGGCAGCAAATTGTACTCAAAGAATAAATCATCTCGCTTCCTTCTCGTCTTTGTTGAGAGTCGCAAACGCTCAGTACAGATCGGCGGGTAGAGACAAAGTTTACGAGCTGAAACACAAGCGAGGATTTGTTTTGAGTTTGAGAGCTTGTGGATAAAATGGTGTTTTTTTTTGTTTTTTTTTTAAAGGTTAGGTAAAAGAAAGCGTCATCATTTTCATTTTTACATTTAAAAAGTGATTAAAATCCTGATTATTTGTTGGGGTCTGCACCAAACACACATGTTTTATTACATCTGGATTACAAGATTTGTATGCCAGGGTATCTCTGCACAGATGTCCTTCATTATAATGCTGCTGTCTGTGACGTGGATATGGCATGTCAGGTTTGTGTCATAATGTATAATTTAATGATTTAGCCTCATTTTAGTAATGAAAAAATAGGTGAATTTGAAAACAAAGATTTTTAAATAAAAACAATATATTAATTTAGATGTACTAATGTGCCACAATGAAGTCTTTTACTTCAGATATCTTCATTCTGGGGTTTTTCAAAACAAATATTGATATATGTGATTAAATATTGACACTCTGGCCACCCCATTAATATTTCTCTATATGTCCTCTTGGGTAGTTTCATCTACAACAATGAATATTTTTATGTTTTGAGGTATAACATCTGTAACTAGTAACAACTGCGTAAAGTGTAAAGTTGCATAAATTATCTCAAATTTGTACTTTAAGAGAGTAATATAAATATTTATCTTCTAATCTGCAAAAACTACTTGGAAATGGATGTCAAATTAATCTTTAAAGGGACAAATAATCTCATTAATAAGTCTGAAATAGTGAAAACAGATACCTTAACCTGCCCTGATTGTACAGCTCATATATTACTCTTATTAAAGTGTTGATCTGTTGATTTCCTGTAATAGAGAGCGTGAGAGAGCTGCTCACAGAGGCTTTGTTATCTCATCTGTCTGCGCTCAGATTGAGGTTGTGATTGTAGGACTGGTTTTGCGGGTGTAATCCTGGAGGATTTGAACACCCCCCCCCACCACCACCACCCTTCAGTCCGGATCATGATCAGCCAGGCCAGCTTAGAGGTCTGAGGGTCTAAAGCATCTGTCACCGCCTGTTCACGTCACGCTCGTTCCCAAAGTTCATGTCAATCTGTGTTTGTCTTTTCAGATTCAGCATCATGGGGAAAGGCTGCCTGACAGCGACCAAGTACTTCCTCTTCCTCTTCAACCTCATCTTCTTTGTGAGTATTTCACCCTCATTAGTGATCAATGATAATGATAATGTGCCATTAAATCTGACACACTGTTGAGATGTTTTCTGCTTCCTGTGATAACTGGACACACACAGAGACACACTGACGTTTGTAATAAAAATACATTTAGTCCAACAGTCTGTAAACTTCATCAACATGTGCTAATAATATATAATATATAATATTTATGATTTAAGGCTTTAATTTAAACAAAAAGAGACAAAAACGTCAGATTGCTAACAGATTTATCCACTTTATCCAGCTCGCTAATTAAGATAACATTAGCTTTATATTAATTGGTTGAATATGTTTTAATGTTTCCAGCTGACTGGTGTTAAAATGGGTTTTAAAGCACTTGATAGCTACGTAATAACCTGTAACCTCACAAGCTAATGTAGTTTAATGATTCGGCCTTTATAACATCGGGTTACTATTGTTGATAGTAAGCCAGATATGCTAACGGTAGCAGCTTAAACAAATAAAGCTGCTGTTTAATCTGTTACTTTTTGATCCTTGCAGACTTTAAATCCAGATTAACTGATGAATTTGACAAACAAAAACACAACCTCTAACATTTACTGGAGTTTAAACTTCCCTAAATCTAATAAAGAGCATGACTGATTTTTTTTTTTTTAACCCACAAAATGCAGGTTTTCATACATTTTCACAGCAGCATTGATGCGTTTCATCAGTTTATAGTCGTATAATTCAGTTTACAGCTCAGAAACACGTTGCAGGGGGAGAACCTCTGCAAGTTTTGTCTGATTATATTTTGGTTGTCTTGTTATTCACATTAGATGTTAGGAAGTGGTTTTAAATGAGCTAACATCCTGTGTAGTGTATCAGAATAAATCCTGAGCCTGACGGAGGAACAACGCAGGTTCAATGCAGCTTCATTAAACTTTATGAACAGCTTGTAGGGACTAGATGTGAACTATTCATTCCTGTTCTCTTTCTGTCTGTGAGTCTTAATTACGGCGCAGATGAAGTGATTGTGGCCCAGTTACCAGGGTGATAACTCGCTGTCTCGTTTCCTCTCTCTCTCCCACAAAGTGAAATCTGTGATCTGAGGTCGAGAGCTTCTCAGCAACCTCGCAGTCAAACACTGTCTGTATATTGCTGCTCAGTAGAAACGGAAATACGTAACAGGAAGAACATAACCAGGGGAAAACCTCTAAATTACATATTTTCTATTGAATATTTAAGCTCCAGAAATGTATTTTTACACACTGTTTGTGCTGCAAGGACCAAAATACTAAAATGGGCTGTAGCTTCCACTGAGGTCATAATTTTTATATATATATATATATATTTATAAATGTGTAAACTTCAGCAACATGAAATGAGCATTTTACATTTTAAAGTTGCACAAAATGGCCTTTTATGAGAACCAATAATCTTATATCCCTCGATTTGACTGTTTAAAGGTCAAATGTGGATTTACAGCTGCACACCTTCAATATTTAACTATCAGACACTGAAATGATTTTGTCTCAGCTGTGTAAAACAACTATATAATGAACTTGTTCCAATGATCACAGACCTGTAGGTATGTGAAGTTTTAGGTGTCATCACATTAATATTAATAATTGCAGAGGTTGTTGCGACTCTATATTTGGCAATATGCAGCAAAACTGTTATAATGTGAACATATATGGATAACAGGAACTGACAGATATTCATATTCTGATATATTTATCAGCATTTATCCATATTGCTAACTTTCCACCCTGGTTATATGACAGAAAGCTAGCTTTAGCCCCTTTATGCTACCCACAAAAACAGAAACTATACAAATAAATGAATAAATATGTGATAAAAATACGTTTACATGAGTGCAGAGGAGGTTCAGCTGTGACTATACAGACAAATACAAGTTTAAACTTATATTTATATTATATTTAGACTATATTTGTGTCTGTTATTTATTGATGACCTGAACTTTTTTTTTTTTAGAAAACAAGAGATTTGGATACATTTTGAGCAGATTATTTCCTGTTTAGGGAACTTTTTTTATACAATTCTGTCTGTATTATGTATTTTTATAATTTTAACATTCATACAGACTTAATTAGGCTTTGTTATTAACATTAAATGGTTAGTGTTTTATTCTCCCTGACAATTCTATCAGACAATTTAATGAACTTTTCTTCCCAGAAGTGAACAAAATACTGATATTTAGGCACTGCTGTGTAGATTTTGTAAGTTTTCTTACACTCTTTAAAATCAAGAAGGACTTGTGGCCCCTAGTGACCCCCGAGGTTTGGAACCGCTGTGGTACAGTACAGTGTATTTCTTATGGCTGACCCCTCTGTGCGTGTGTGTGTTTTTGTGTGTGTTTTTGTGTGTGTGTGTGTGTGTGTCCTCCAGCTATGCGGGGCCGTCATCATGGGCTTCGGACTGTGGCTCCTCCTGGACAATCAGAGCTTCATCGTGGTCCTCAGTAAGTTAACGTCACTTTCCCTTTCAGTGGAACGAGCGCTGATGTTCGCCTCCTACCACCTGATTCCTTTTACTTGTATGTTTTTGATATAAATTGTAATAATCACTGCTGCGAAGTCGGTTTTCTGTGACTTAAGATGGGATAAAACCCTTCGATGTTGCTCTGCTGCCTGGATTTTAGAGCCATGAGTACAAAAGCACAAACAGCCAATATGATGATGTTGGACCCTTTACACTGATCCACTTGTAGAGCGCATGTAGGCCAATACAAATGGAGCCACGATTAACGGGCTGAAAACAGGCCAAGTTCTGGCTGCAGGCTGCCAGTGTGCTTTTAAATGTGTGTGTGAGAGGAAGAAGAAGAAACAGGCAGCACACTTTGGGCACAAACATTTTATTGGTTGGTTTCATAAACTATAGACGAATCTGGGTTGTAGTAGAAAAGCCGTCCTCACTGTGCATACAACTGTAAAATGTCAGTTTTTAAGCTCTTTTTATCCTGTAGAATCGTTTATATGTTGAAAACCGGCATCAAATCCCATTTAAATAAAGGGTTTTAATCTACATATCTACATAAGATGGGTGCTTATTGTTGTTGGCAGCTACAACAACAATCTGAACAACAGAAAGTAAAAGTCATGAAGTCTTGATGAAACCAGTTTTACATTCTTAAATCTTGGTTTCTATCTTTTTCACAGCAGACATTGTGAAATGAAATAGTTAAACACAGGTACATGATACTATTTCAAGCTTTAATCTGTAACATTTCCTCATTAAACAGTGTATAAACTCTAGTTTTCTGTTCTATATGTAGTTGAGTTCTTACATTATCCCAAATGTTTCCAACAATGTTCAAATTCAGAGAAATCTGTCATTTTATTCAGGTAATGCTGCGTTTCACCGTCATATCCCCTTTGTGTCTGCGTCAGCATTGTGGTTGTCTGCCAGAAGCTGTCACACACTGACTGTTTATCCAGTCTAAAGCAACATTTTTAGATCTTGGTGCTTTTTAACTCAGCGTCATCAAACTACATCTTTTCTTATTGCTCTGATGTGAGAGTGGCAGAAATGAGGCTCTGAGACACTAAACAGAATCTTAAATAGTATCATTGGTGACACCTGTGTTTACCCAACTGTTTAATGTCAGAATGGCTGCTGTGAAAAAGGTCTATTAGCTCCTCCACACTGCAGTTTCACAGACAGGGTACGTTCTGTTCTTTGAATAACTTCCACATTCACACAGACGACCTTCATCTGTGTGAGATAAACCCAAACATCTCTGCTCCCAGCGTCACTGTAGATGTGCAGTAATGGAGTAATACTGGAGTAATACTCTGTTACTGAAGGCTACTGGTCTTTTTAATTGGATTATTCCATCCGTATTGTGGATTTCAGCTGTTTAGTGTCCAAAGTTTTGAGCACGACTCTGATAACAAACATTCCTTCGTGCTGTTTATCAGTCGGTGTGACGCTGATGGAGGATATAGGTCAGCACACGTTGGTGTTTACATGAAAGTAAAGTCCTGAGGTCTGTTTTCCACCATATGAGACCGTTCAGTTAAACACAAGTGTCCAGCAGATTTCCTCCATTTTCTGTTTCTTTTTTTTTGTCTGTCTGCTCGTCTGGACTGTGTTTAAAAAAAGAAATTCCTCCAAGTCACACAACAAATCTTTTCTTTCTCTTTCTCTTCCTCCTCCATACTTTTCTCATTACGGCTTCTTTTACTTTCTGACACGCTGTTCAGAGACCAATTAGTTCATTAAGGAAAATAATTTACATATTATCTTAATTGCTGAAATATATTAATATGTTGAATTAGCCTCTGACCAAAGTTTAAAAAAAATACTCTGAACTTTGTTACACCTAATTTAATTAAATTAGTTTGTATTCTACTGTAATGTCCTATAATAGTTGGGCTAACTAGCTTCACCCTGCAGTGTTTCTGCCTGTTTACGTGTCTTCCACATTGATCTATACCGGGTTTTAGGCAGTTTTTTTAGAAATACAGGTCCAAAAACTGAACCTCTTTCAGGGGATATTTGGGGCCTAAAGTATTTATTTTTTTAGGTAATTGTTCCACGACTTTTATTGTAGACCCCTCAGAAGGGTTAGTACTCAGTTGTTCCCATTTCAGACTCTTGTTTTAGGATTGTATCTTGTATTTAAGACTCCTTTTATATATGGTTTGACGTTTAAATGAGTCAACTGGAAACATTCGAAAGTCAATCAGAGTTGGCTTTAATAAACTAGCTACAGCTGATGAAAACACTTTATTTATTTATTCATTCATTTACCGGAGACGATGCACATTAATCAACATTACGCTTTACACTTCAATAAGCTAACGCGTCAACACACACTACAACAACAATACTCGAGTACCTGTGAACCCCGATCTGTATGAGATGTGTATCAATCCTCTCACTCGTGGAAAGAAATCAAATTTAGAAGTTTCAGTCAGTTTGAAATAGTAACAGTAAGAGTTCATCAGAGACGAGCAGTGTGAGCGAGACAGAAAAGACGAGTGAAGAAGAGTTGGTGCAGAAATATAGAGACAGACATTGAGCTGGTGTAATAGAGAGACCGCCTGTGTGTGTGGTGGCTGGTGTGTGTGTGTCGTGTGTGTGGTGTGTGCGAGAGCTCTCAAGACCAGCGGAGAGCGTCACTGAGCGCATTTTCCCCCGTCCTGCCAGGTGTCCTCCCCGCGGACACTGGCCCTTTCTGCTCCCCTCCAGCATCAGCATGCATCACATCAGCCCAGTTGCGCTCACCGCCTTACTCCACACACAGACACACAGACACACACTCACACACAGACACACACTACAGCGACGGGAGGACAGACACGAGTCCGCGGGACTTCATCGAGGTCGGGAATGCGGTCATACGAGTCAAACCCTGCGTGGAGCGGAGGGTTAAAGCTAGCAGCTGACACATAAATGAGATGTATTGATGCTCAATGGAACATTTTATAAAGCGAGCCAGTGGCCCCGCTGTGGGCTCGCAGATGATCGCAGAGGTTTGGAGGGTGAATCAATGAGCTGCCTGACGCCTGATCTGTGTGTGTGTGTGTGTGTGTGTGTGTGTGTGTGTGAGAGGGATGAAATCAGCGTTTGAAACCTGATTGTTTAAAGGCCGAGCTGAGTCACGAGTCCTCATCTCTGCTGTAAATTCCACATTTATTTAAGGTCCAGTGTGTTGATCTATTGTCTGAAATATCAGTCTTGTACTGCGTTAAAACAGTTACAACAACAAAAAGAGCTCATAGAGCAATGAGTAGAAAAAAAGAATTTGTCAAAAAAGAAGCTTATTAACTGTTTGCACTGGTTTCCCTGCTGTGTGTGTGTGTGGCACATAAACACACACACGCAGGTATTCATTTCCTGAATTGCCCCCCCCCCATAGCCTAATTTTCCATCATAAACTCCCCTCGTTTGCCTTTGTCTTGGTTTTGAGCAGCGTGCCCTGGTTCACTGATCCCCCGGGGGTATCCCATGATTCCTTGAGGCCAGGAGGAGTCTGCGAGGGGGTGTGTGTGTGTGTGTTGGGGGGGGTCCGGTCTATAAAACAGTGTGCTGGCTGGCAGACATCAACAGGCTGACGTGTTCCTTCCAGCAGTTTCTGTGCGACTCGCTGTATCAGATCAAACTGAGTCTGAATATGATCTTATTTTAGCTTCCTGCGTTACGTTGGATCTCGATCAATCACCATAAGTGGAGCGCTGCAGCCGCACATTTGCTTCTGATTTAATTCGTTGTTGATAATCGCACATGTTGCTGAGTTTGTCTGGTTTCAGTTTCCACCAGTTTATAGAGTTCAGTGAGGCCACACTCTTCTTCATTCAAAGATCCTACAAAACCTCATGTCATAAGCTGTTAAATCAATTCAAAAATACAATTAATATTAAGTTAATCAAATATAAAACAGCCACTGAACACGGTTGTGTGCTGCTGTGGTGGTCAGATGTTTAATCTAATTTCTACTTTCATTAAACCGTCGTTCACAGTGACACCAGCGGCCGTTTAATATAATGTTCCTATATTTTATCATGCTACCAACTAGCTCACTGTTTACAAATCAGCCCATCATCAAACACCACGAAGCAACCGACGCCAGATCCACAATATCTGAAGAACTTCTGCGGTCGGAGCGGAGTGTTAAGCTGACTGGGCTTTCTTTCTTGTTTCCATACAGATAACTTAACAACTGTAAAGGTCGCCTGCTACATCCTGATTGGAGTCGGGGCTTTCTCCATGCTCATGGGCTTCCTCGGCTGCCTGGGGGCCGTCTATGAGATCCGCTGTCTGCTCGGCCTGGTGAGTGACGCTTTGTTAGACGTGGTGATGATGAGTAACGCAGCCGTAGAGCGAGCGGAGGATTTAATGTGGAGATATAATAGTTTCCCTCCGGAGGATAAAACTACTTCTCCTAAAGGACCAACTGCTCTCTGCTAAACTTCAGTAAGTAATCGAGTAGTTCAACAGATGGAAAACTGTCCTGAACCACTGAAGAAACACTCCAGGTGTGCTTTAGTTTTACCTTACAGGTGTATAGCGTGCACAGAAAGGTTAAAGGTCAACAGGTTTTTAAGTATTTTTCCTAAGGAGGAAACGGAGCATTTGTTTAGGACTATATTCAGCAGCGGATTCATTCTGATTTGGTGCTTTAGTGAGTATTAGGGGCAGCAATACGGTGTATGTGGGTCAGATTATACTATATGGTCAGGGTGAATACTCGATTCTGATTGGCTGCTGGGTGTGACCATTAATTTCTGATGTACAACATCTACTAAATAGTTCCAGTGAAACTCACCGTTGTAAATTAATACGTTGAAATAAACTGAATGAAAAGAACAAGAACTAGCTTGTTGTTAAACCTTCTGTCAGATTATATTTACCGCTTGTCGACTTGTTATTGACTTTGAATCTCGTAGCGTAACGTTAACTCTCTGGGACTAGACATATCTCCTGTTGCAGAGTCGTATCTATGGTTCGTCCTATTTACTGGAGCAGCGAACAATGTTTGCATTGCATTAGAACATTATGGGATGGTAATGATTCCTCCAGGTATTAGGAAGGGCCTCAGGTGTTACCAGGGAAACTCTTCTCCTCTTATTTTATTTAATTAATTGGTATAAGTGTGATAATGCCCTTCAAGGTGTCCATTACCAGGAATGAATGGACTTCGCAGAGGAACCACGTCGTCCATTACTTCCCGATAATGAACACCTCGTCAGAGATTGTCTCTTATATAAACTACAGCGAGGTAATGGTACTCTTACAGATGTTTAATGAGTTTAACATCTGTTTGTCCTCTCTCTCTCTCTCTCTCGCAGTACTTCACCTGCCTCCTGGTGATCCTCATCGCTCAGATCACAGCCGGCGCTCTCATCTACTTCCAGAAGGATGTGGTGAGTGATGTCACTTCCTGTCGAGAGGAATGAGGAGGGTTTTTTGTAACACACCTGTTTTTATTACACACCTTCGTCGTCTGATCGGTGGCGCTCACGCCCGCTATGTGTCACAGCACGCCGTCATCTGCACGAATATCTGTGCTACGAATAGAAGTTAAACAGTTAAACAAGAGCTTCAGTGTAACAGAGTTTACTGCCTGATGAGGCCACACGTGGTCGATGTTACACCAGTAAACTGACATTGAAACTGCAGCGCCCCCTGGTGTTTGATCTGAGGTATTTTATAGATGAGAGCAGCAGAAAGAGTGAAAGCTTCTTTTGGGTTTTAGGATTCAATATTTGTGACTCTGAACTTTTAAAAGACATTAACTGCAAAGTAAAACATTTAAAGTTTATAATAAGTATACTTATTATACACACTGTTGTAAACTGGGGCAGCAGCTACGATTATTTATCATTTTATTGATTCATTGATTAGGTTTTCAGTCCATAAAAGTCCAACGTGGCACCTTTTTAAAGGTCCACAACTCAAAAGATATTCAGTTTACTGTCATTGATCAGAAGTTCACAACCTTTTATCTTAATAAACCTCTTTTCTAAGTGACATATTTTAAGGATATTTTATATTCTATTTCAATTATATTTGAACAATGAACTCAGTAACTGCAGGTAGTTTGTGTAAAACAAGTGATTTGGATACAACATTTTCTTTTCAGAATAACCAGGACTGTTTAAAAAAATAGATATTTTATGTTTATAGTTACATTTATCTAGAAGAAAATGTTAATTTTATCAGATTTTAAAGGTGACAAACCTAAGAGCTCATTACAGAACTAACCAGGGAAACTTTTACTCCTGATCATAAGAGTAAAAAACGTGGAGAGTGAAGCTGTGTTAATGTAGGACTGAAGGATTAGAGACGGAGAGCATTTACAAAATAACACTAAATCTGTTAAATTTGGGTTTAACAACCTTTAACGTCAGTCGGAGGCATTTCATTTGTTTACTTTACTTCCTTATTATTAAGCATAAAGCCGGATATGTCGAAGCTTTCTGACAAATCTTAAGCCTCTCAGACGTAATTACAACTTGGATGTTGACATAAATGGTACTTACGGAGCTGGGAACTGGTAATTACGGTAACTCGTGACGTGAACGCAGCATCAGGGAAACACAGATGTTTTGCATTTGAGTTAATTACTGCGTCCATACAAACATCTGAGTGTTCCTCCTCGTATTAAAGTGCTGCTCTACAGTCACAATCTACTAAAAATACCTCATTTACACACAGATGGAGAGGAAACTGTTCACTTGCACATGAACTGACTGGTTGTAGTTCCTCTAACGGCCACTAGAGCTGGCTCCAGCAGTGAGTCGATCTCCATAAGGACTCATATTAAAATTAAATAAACTTGTTTACAGCCTGGTACAAAAAAAAACCCTTCTGGTCTCTGGAGCTAATTTCCACGTTCATGACGACTGAAAGGAAGGTGAATCGTTATATAACTCACCAGTTTAAATTATATTAAGGATTAAAGTTACAATATATAATTAAGGGCGAGGTCGCTTTGAGTGACAGGCGGTTGTTTCCAGTAACCAGGCTCCGTTCAGCTCTTTGCCTGTTTTTGGATTATCTTAAGAAACCTTTGGGTGACGGAGCAACAGTTACATTAGTTTAATAACAATTTTAACATTTAATAACTGAGAATTGATTAATATTTATTCTTAATCTTAATTCTAAAGCCATGAAAATAACATACTTAAGCCCATAACTGTTTGTCTTTGGAGGACAGTATCACAGAATCTGAACAGCAACATCACCGTAAAACACTTACTACCTTTTTAACATGTTAAAACAATAGAAACATATCAATCATCTAATTGTTTGAGCTCTGGTCTTATGATATGTGTGGACTACAAACATGGAGGCTCAGAGATTCACAGTTTATGAGACAAAGAACAAGGAAGCACATTTTTAAGATTTTAACATTCGTACTTTTAATTCAGGTTTTAATAAAGTAGAACAACCTGTAAACTTGGTGAGATTCAGATTTAGTTTTTTTATGATTGTTGATTTTTGAGGTTTTATAACAGGATTTATTGGGAATGTGACTGTGAACTGGGAGTGACACTGACACAGTTTATGTAACAGACTTACAGCAACACACACGTCTGCACATATTTTTTATAGATTGTGTAATTTTTATGATTTTGTTCAAGCAAATAAAACATTTTCTTTTTAAAATGAGGGCACAGAGTTTAAGAAACTGGAGCATTAGTGTCCTCGTTTAAAGCTGAATGAGTCCTTCAGACTGCAGACAGTCTCTGTTTATTGTATCTGAAGGTAATAATCTCATCCTGTTCTGATAAAGAATAAATCTGCTCTTACAGAATAAGATTTTAAAGGTCTAGCAGCGGTTTCACTGAAGGTGCCTGAATCTGGATCCTGATCTTCTGGATATCCTAAAAATTCAGATTTTTACAGATCTGCCAAATTCTTCACCGCAAGAATTCAGAGCTGGAGCCAGCTGGCATACTGAAGTCCTGAAGAAGAATTGTGATTATTCAGGAATGCAGCTGAAATATGGCTCTGATTATTGATTATTGTTTTAACCATTTAATGCTGTTTAATATTCTCCAGGTTCCCGCTTTGTTAAAGGACATTGAGGATTTTGTGAAAACAAAAACTTAATATATAAGAAGCTAGCGGCTGTTAAAGACTAGAAACAAGAGTACACTTTTATTCTGGTTGTTATACTTTGGGTTTTGTATAGATTACCAAAGAAAATATTACTTTATTGAGCTTTAGACGGAGCTATGCTAGCTGTTTATCCTCGTTTTCAAGCCTTTGTGCTAAGCCAACCAGCTGTGGAAATCTTACGAACAATGTTTCACTCTCATTAATTATTCACGACTTGACGATTTACTTCGATTAATGTAGATTACGTAGTTAGTTACAGACACAAAACACAAGCTAACTAGCCAACTAGCTACTTAGTAAGTCAATGATTGATTAGATTAACTAGTTTTGTTAACATTTAGCTAAATTAAGATGTTGCTTTTATCTTTTGACGACCTTCAAAATGTGGTTAATGTCGCTTCTTAATAGTTTTATATCTTCAAATAACGAATTAAAACCAAATTTATCAGGAAAAAAGAACTTGAACAAACATCAGTGTGATTAAAAACGACCTCAAAAGACAGAAACCAGGTTTGGGAGACGTTTATTTGACGTCTCCACAGCTCGGAGCCTGTTTTTGCATCACAAGACTTATTTTATCACCACAAAACTTCATCTTCATCTTCATCTTCTTTCAGCTGCACGAAGAGACGTCCAAGATCGTCACCAAGGTTCTTGACAACTACACCGGCAACAACTCGACCACAGAGCAGACCTGGGACTTCATCCAGAGGAATGTGAGTGGAAAACACTGATCTGGGCTCAGATACATGATGTTTTAAATGGTTTTATTCAAAAGGTACCACAATAAACATTTAACACACAAAATTAAATGTTTGATTATTCTGGAAGCCTCATTTCTGCCAATGTGATTTTAAAAAAGGAACCTGTTAGTCTTTATAATTGACTCTATAACTGAATATAACTCAATATAATTGATAAAGTTTCTCAATATTTTGACTTAGTATCTGAAAAAAACTTATCTCATAAAATAATGAATTTGTGACACTAGTTTTTCATTAATAACTTCCAGAATCATTATTTTCCTGTCACATTGGTAGAAATGGATCATTATTATTGGCCGATATTGATCTGTCACAGACGTATCGGTGCAGAAAGTCCCAATGATCTAAGTCCCAATGATCTTCTGTC